TAAAAGCTGTTTAAGTGCGGTTAAGTTTTAAATAACATGTCGAACATATTTGTTTACATTTGAAACACGGAATTGTAGATTTTTGCCAATCTAGAGAGAATAAGCTTCGCAACACAAAAATAACGCCTTCATTTATTATTGCGAATTAAATCATGCTTAATCCTTTCTGGAATTTTTTCGAGGAAATAAGTGTTTAAGATTTACTTCGTAATTTTTAATGCAGATATTTTGAGTTTTTATGTATTTTTGCCTTGTCGCGAAGTGAGAACTGAATTAATTGAATGAGAAATACTAAATCGTCTTTGAAAAACTGTCTCTTTTCTGTTTTGTTTGCTTAATTTCTTTCATACGTAGTTTTAGCTTTATTATAGTATTTGAATAGAACATGTGGCAACGATAATTCTTCATATGATATAAAATTTTGTGCATTTAGTGTCGTTATAGTAAACAAAGATAGTGAATTTTAAAGAGTGCATTTATTCTATTGTGGTTTATGCGCTGCCGACGAAGTAGATTTAATTCAATCCAATCAATTTAAATGAAATTCAAGAAAAAAATGCGTATAATTTAATATACGCATTTTTATATAATTTAATATACGCATACTAGGAAGTCATGTGGTGTACACATCAGATTTTTTAAAATTAAAATGAAGTCATTTTTTTAATTCGCATTTTTTAATACCAAAAAATTTTTATTACAATACATTCAGATACTATTCAGGATAATAAACTGCAAATTGCAGCGTGTTTAATCGCAGTAACGATTTTAAATGAACTTAAAGGGGAAAATCGCTCGCTCCACTGCGCATGTATACTTTGGAGCCTTGGAGATCGGTTTTTTTCTCCTTTTCCCGTTCCTGAGCGGGTTATAAAATATTTAAATGCGAAGATAGGCTAGCACAAATCACATGATTGTTTACGTATGCGAGGTTGAAGAGTTATTAACCTCTCCACTCGTTATACTAAAACATATTCATTTACGTACACATAAGGGGGTTAAAAACGAAGACTGAAATGAGAATGTCGACCATTGGATATTTCCAATTCGAGCTGAATTTGGAATAAAATCATCGCGGCCGTTTTGGGATAAGGCTTAAATGAGACAATGCTATCTGGTTGAGATTAAAGTACTTTGGCTATTGTGATTTCGTCCAAATGCTGATAAGATCTTAATTTTTTCAGGTAATTTCAGTATGTTGTATAAATCATTGAATAACTTGTTTTTAATTTTAACCGTTAAACCAGAAATTTTAGAATACTGAAACGCCACCATTTGTAGGCTGAGAAACTTACTTCACTGACTGTACCAAAGTGGGAAATTCTCCCCTTTTTACCTTAGTTACGTGACATGGACATTCAGTGACAAAGAACATGTAATGTCCTAGCTAATTTAGTAGTCTTCAGAGCTAGAATATCGAAGAACTGTGTAGCGACTTATCGCAGAGTTCTCTTCAGGACACAGTCCAAAGAAGGGTAAAATTTATCTTTATTCCAACTCAACATAATTGACAGATGGTCCCTTCTCGGGCTTACAATAAGACTCACTTCAGCTTAAGATAAAAAACAAGAAACTAATCTAACATTAACTAAAATAAAACCAGCCAAAGCTGCGCAGAAATAACTCATAGAGTTGGCCACTATTGAAAATTACCAGCGAATACAAGCAGGCACGTAACAATACGGCCGAGTCGTAGTAAAATTAGACTTTTAGCAACAACGTGGCCGGAAGGCAGAATGCGCTTTCCTGGATTTTTCTAGTGAAGTGAACGAGTCTTCAAATTAAATAGTTGTTGCCACCTCATTTACATAAAACGTAATCCTAAAAAATATCACTCTGGTAGGGAGATGTAGGTCGAATATGAGAAATTAAGGAAAAGTTTATTCCAAAATAAAAAATAAAAGAAAACTAGTAGAAAATTAAAATAAACTCTACAGCCTAATCTGTTGATTCTTTTTTTTGCCCTTCAATAGCAGTCGCACACATAAACTCAGACCATATATTTATTTCTCTAAAATTATATGAAAGGCATTTTCAACAAATACGTAACTGAAATAAATTCGCGGGCAGCATCAAATTGCTTTGGGGACACATGTGGGTAGCATGCCTTCATGGTGTAGGGGTCAGCACACCCGGCTCGTATGCGAGAGGTCCGTGGTTCGAATCCTGGAGAAGGCATTGCTCATTTTTCATCTCTCCTGCTTCCAAAAAGTCCTGATATCTGTACAGTGGCGCTCGAACTAAAAAAATGTGGTGAATGATGATACACCACCACCAGGATTTGGCGATTGGGTCCCTTAATCCCCAATCGCCGTTTGAAAGGGGGAGTATATAAGGTATTTCTCCGACTTTCATAGCATGCCTTCGTGGTATAGTGGCCAGCTCACTCGGCGCGTATTCGAGATGTTCGTGGTTCGAATCCCGGCTAAGGCATTGCGCATTTTTTATCTCTCCTGTTTCGAAATAACCTAATGTCTTTACAGTGCAATGAAGAGAAAAAATGCTTTCAAAGAAGGTTTTCAATTTTTTTTTTCAAACTAGCTAATACGTAGTTTTTTTTTTTTTTTTCTTCAATTTTCGTATTTCATTTAAACTTTCAGATACTTTCTATAGATTTAACTCAGATAACTATATGTCTCTAACAGCAGGGAAAAAAATGGGATGAAATAAAAAACTCGAAGCTTCAATAAAAATTAAGTTAATTTTGTCTGTGCTGTTGCAGGCAAAGACTAGTTAGATTATTCTTAAACTTCTAAAAACGTAACTGAAATTGTACCACTGTATTCTTTGAAAAAAAAATTGAAAACTGATACAGTTATTGCATATACACATTTTCAAAGCATTCTTGCGAAATCTCACCATGTTTCACTTATGGAGCATGTGCCTCTGGTCTCTTGAAAAGAGCTCTTTCTATGCGAAAACTCATTACGATTGATGAACTCTCAAAAGTTGTGGAAGAGGAAAGGAAACCAACACTCCTGGTAATTTTGCCCAAAGCTCTACTATCATGGAAATCACGATGCAGACTTGTAAGTTCAGAAAAAAGGTATCAGAACGAACATTTAAAAAATACTCTTTACATTTTAAACATTAATTAAACGACCCAGAAATCGTTCTAAAAATGTATAAACGCCCTCCGTAGCTAACATCCTCTATTAGATTATTAAAATGTTAAATATGCCCATTTATGCATGCAGAATGTACTTTTTAATGCATTCTTTACAGCAGTTAAATTAGAAATGCATTCATGTAACTTTACAGCAGTTGGGAATAAAATAAAAAATAAATTGTAACTGTTTCTTTTTCCCTCCCACTGTTAACAAAGAATTTATTAATAATATATAAGGTATTTCTCCCGCTTTCTTAGCATGCCTTCGGGGTGTAGTGGTCAGCACGCTCGACGCGTATTCGAGAGGTTCGTGGCTCGATTCCCGGCGAGGACACTGCTCATTTTTAATCTTTCCTGCTTCAAAAATACCTAATTTCTCTGCAGTGGCGCCAGAACTTTAAGGTGGTGAATGATGATTTTTCACAACCAGAATTTGGCGATCGGTTTCCCTAAAACACCAGTCGCCCTTTAAAAGGGGGAGTATATAAGGCATTTCTCCCGCCTTTTTAGAATGCCTCCGTGGTGTAGTGGTCAACACGCTCGACGCGAATTCGAGAGGTCCATGGTTCGAGTCTGGCGAGGGCATTGCTCATTTTTCATCTCTCCTGCTTTTAAAAAAAATACCTAATGTCTGTACAAATATCGCTCAAGATAAAATACGGATGTATCTAATATATTCCCTCGGTAAGAATGTCTAATGAACTGATAAGAGCTCGTGGGTGACTGGAGTCACTGAATTGCTCATTCTGCGCACTTGAACTAGCTATATTTACTCTCGATAATTAGAAAATAAGAAGTTTTAAAATTTTAATTTAATATTTTAAAAATTACTTATAAAATATAACATTTTAAAAATTACATATAAAATATTTTAAATGAGGGAAAGAATTCAATTTCATGTAGGTCAGCAATTTTATCTTTTAAGCTTATCAGACAAAATATATTTTTATCTGAGAAAGTAGCAAAAATTCTAGCATTAAAAAAAAATTAATACTGCGAATTTGAAACTGGTGTGGGGGGGAGGGAATAAAATGCAATTCCATCTGATTTTGCGCAAGATAAAATGAATGGTAGAGTAAGATTGGCTGAAAATTTGTTTAGTTTAAAACATGCGAAGATTGTCTGCCTTAGGAAGGATGACTTCGAGGAAGACTTTTTAAATGAAAGTGGCAACCGCTCGTATTCAATGCAAGATATTTAATTAGTTAATCAGCCATTAACTTTAATATTTTTTCTATTACTATATGACTATATTAGAAAATAAATAAAACATCAATAGAAAAATTTGTTAATTTCACCCTGGTGGTCAACTGAATTACAGACTGCTATTTAAGAATAAGAGCGAACGAAAGTGGAGAAGAGAATACAATATGTTTTTATGCGTTAGTAGAATGAAGTCGCGAATGACGTCAGAATACACAGAGAACGGCAATAAACTTCAAAAGGAATAAATTCTAAGTTTGTGTTGCACGCGAATTTGTCTTAGAACGTGATGACACGGCAGAAAATTGCGCGCATCAACCCCTAGAGAGAGAACAACACGTCCTTTCAGAACTCTACTTCTGTGTAGATCCCGAACACCACAAGAGTGAGTGCGAATGGGAAAATAAGAAAGGCATGAGGGGAAGTTCGAAAAGATGCGAGGGGGGTGCTTTGGAAATGCGCTGTCGGCAAACGTTATCGATCCCCTTGGCGCTGCTGGGGAAACATTCGAGGGGGGTAAAGGGGAACGAGAGAGAGAGGGAGGAGTCACGGGACTCAGGGGGAGGGGTGAGCCGCCGGTAATCTGCGGCAGCCGGTTTGACAGTCGCGAAGACAGGCGTGGTGTGACGGTCCCGGCGGAGGGATACACGCCGGTGAACCACACAGGGGAGTGGTGGTTTAGGGAAAAGTCACGTGGTCTACCTCCCTTTCCTCTTCCTCTCCATCCCTTAGCTCTCGGCTATCCGTTCTCCATCCACTCCCGCGTCGTTCACTCTTTCTTGCTTTTCATTCAGTTCCCAGTTCGACACAGGAAGATTCGGTTGTGTGTCCTTAAACTCCCCAGAAAAGCGTTCCCAAACTTCGCGTGCTCAGTCTGTGGCACGAACTTTCGATTGACACTGGCGGAGTTTTGTTGTTCGACTGCTGCATACATGCTGAACTCTTACTTCTGTTTTGCTTCAAGGAGGATATTTGGAAAACAAAACATGTGTTTTATGAGTCACGGATCATGCGCTATGTCGAGGAACTGTTGACTTTCTGACAACAAATGCGCGTGCTTTGATCCAAATATTGGTAAACATTAAGCAAGCTGAAGGACATTAAAACTTTGAAGAGACTTTTCTAAACTAGGACTGTGTTTAAAACCTGGAAAAAATTAACAGTTATTTAGGATTTCCTCATGGACATTTGTTGACCACGATTTCTTGAGTTAAAATACTCAGGGAAAAAAAGGCCGACCAAATAAACAAGTGTTCTGAAACAAAAACTATGCACTTACCAGCGGACTCAGTGAATGGTTCTCCGGTCTCTACCGGTCCGGAACGGCCTGGTGGGGGAGATTTTGTGTTTCCAGGAGAACGAGTGTTAAGTGAGGTGATGGCTGAGCATCCTGGAGAATTGGTGAGGACCGGCAGTCCTTGTTTCGTGTGCTCATCTTTGCCCACTCATTGGAGGTCCAACAAGACTCTGCCAGTCGCCTTCAAAGTTGTATGTCTAGGAGAAGTGGCCGACGGGACGGTGGTCAGCATTCGAGCCGGGAATGATGAGAACTTTTGCGGTGAGCTTCGAAATGCCACCGCAGTCATGAAAAATCAAGTAGCGAAGTTCAACGATTTGCGATTCGTCGGACGGAGCGGAAGGGGTGAGTGACTCTTCGAAAACTTTTCTTTTCTCTTCTAGCTTTGAAACGCTAAAAGATAACTTAAGTAGCTCGGACATCTTTTAAATCAAACAAGGTCTTTAAATGTAGTCAGTTAATTTTCAAAAAAAATTTTTTTTTTTCCCTTCTTACTGAGGAAAAGATATAATTCATTTAAATTATTCAGCTTCATCATGTTTTCGCTTTTTGTGTGTGAATCTATTAATTATATAATTATTAGTTTGTTATTTAAAAAAAAGGATAACTTTGATCGAATTTTTCTTTTACTCATTTCATAATGTCTATATTGAAATTTAACTGTACAGAAACAGTAATTAGCTACTTTTCTGTTTTTTTCTGTAATAATATATATTTGATTAATTTTTTTCACTTATTGAAATAATCGAATATCAATTTTAAACTCAGCAACGGTAATTTACATATTTTCTCCGTACAGTATAGTTTAGTTATAAACCGTATAATTTTTCCCCGCTCTTCAATATTGTTCAGTTTGGAAAGTGGATATGAATCTAATAAATGAAACGTTTTAAAATTATTTTAACTTGTTACATCATTAATTATCAACGTAACGTTTTATATGCATATTTGAGTGTATTAAGCCGAAGCCTAAAATATGTTTAAATCAAATGACAATAAAAATCTCTGAAGTAGATTAGGAAACTTTCTGATTAAACTAAAATTGAATTAACTAATTCCTGCTGAACGAAAATAGTAAGATCCGTAATTGTACAAGCAATTCACATGCTTCTGAAATGTATTTGCTTGTTTGAAATTTAACGCTTCTTAAAAAATTCAATGCTGTTTTTGTAAACATATAAGACCTATCTACTTGTTTCTTGGAACCAGAAGGCCTTTCAGCGGCCGAGCCGTAAATTTGCTGAATACTTGTCGGTCCGAAGCTCGAACCCGCGAACTGGCTAGCTGCATGGGCGTTTTCTTGGTTTTCCTCATGTGACGTGTATGCGAGCGAGTTTCTCTTAGAATGTCCTCCACGAAGGCACCCGTCTCTTTAGGCAGACAGCCCTCGAGTGCTTTTCCATAATCAAACAAAACGAAACCAAACCATACATTACAACCAGAAGCTTTCACACTATGCTTCGCAAAAGCGTATTCGGAAGTTTTATATACTGTCAACAGATTTAAAATTACGCAAAATAGTATATTTAGTCTAAAATTATGCATTTGTTATGTAGTACACAATTAAATATATTAGAAGAAAGGAAGATAAAGCTAATACGACTAAGCGAGAATGAGACTAAACTTTCTGTCGGATAAGAAAAAAGTTAGGATAATAAAATTGTTCTTTTTTCCCTCCGCTGTCTAAAGAAAAAAAAAATTTTTTTTGAAACCAAATGGTTGTTTTCACCTCTACCGTACTGCATTTTATTTAAGATTATGAAATGAAGGATATTAATACTTTATTATCAGATAAAATCCCAAACAAAACTCTTTCGATAAATATAAATAGTGAAACTATTACTTATTTCTATAAAAAGACAACACATTTCTTTTTCAACTAAAATAGAAAATAAAATTAAAAAAAAAAAAAAAAAAAAATCTCAAATGTTTCAGATTTTAAATTACGTCAAAAGGGGCGTTTTTTCAACGTTTTGTGTGCTACCTTTATTTATTAAATATCATGTTCTTTGTACTTAAATTAAACCATAAAATTCAGTTCAATAGCAATGTCGCAAAATTATTTTAAAATGAGCCTTTCTTTAGAATTTCCGATACACAGTTCCGCGCGCTGGAGATAAAAAGGTAATTTTTTGGGGAAAGTGTTGCCATTGCTCGCTTTGAAATCCTTGAGTTTGTTAATCAAAAATTCGTTAAAGTTTTAAAAAATATGAAGTCGATCATAAAACAAATTCCAAATTTCAAATTTGGTCTTCCACATGCCCATATTCGCAGGAGGATTACGTCATTCAAAATTCGATGGCTCTATGTACCGTTGTTTTATCCCAATGTGAGAAATATACATACATTTATGCAGATTTTTCATTATTTAATTTCTTCAAATATAATGCAGGACTCTAACATTTGGTGGCAACAGTTTGAAAAGAGAAACGGTCATTTATAGTGATTCAACGCAAAATCGCAAAACGAAAACAATAGTCCTTCAAGGACAAAGCCCCTTTCGACTAATAAAAATTTTATTATTATTATTTATTTAAATACTTTTTGAGGGGAAAAGTAGAAACTATTATGTATCCAAACTTTTAAGCAAAACTAATGGATAGAATAATTTATTTTTTAAAGAAGAGAGACCTGTGTTATGTTTCCAAGAAAAGCAAACTAGTGATATTTGAACACCTATTATTTCTGCCATATACTTTGCTTATGTTTACGATACAAACTAGAAAGAAAACCAGAATTTCATACAAAAGAAATATTGCTAAGAGTAAAATATTATCATTCAGCTATCTTTCTTAAACTCCAAATATAGCGTTATGAGCAGATATTTTGTACAGAAGCGGGTGTATAGAATAATGGTAATTTTTAATTTATTGCTTTTAACAGTTTGTTTATAATTTTATGCTCTACATAAAAGTGTGAAGTTAAAATACAAATTTATCTTAAGCAGTCACAGAACATCAAATATTAATTTTCTTACATAGTTTAATAAAATGAGTTTAATAAAGTGAATTTCTTAAGCTTAGTATTAAGTCTTTATTTTTTTGGTACCACGATAAGAACAATAAAAGTTAAAATGTTCTGTCATTCAAAATTCGATGAATTTTGAGTCATTCAAAATTCGATGAATTTTGAATTTTGAATTCTGTTATTTTTAAACTTTTCATGAAATAACTAGAAAAAAATATTGCATTTTGATTTTAAGTACTTTTTTTCATAAAGATAATTATATCTAAATTTTATTATACATGTGTATACTATGAATCAAACATTTTCTATATATATCTTATGATTTCTAAAACTAAAAAATTAATGAAGATAATACAGTAATATGTTCTTAATCTCTTTGTTAATTTGTAATGGAACCACACAATCACACATTGGTTTGATCATTTAAAGTTAACATTGAAGTGCTTAAAATTCAGGGTTTCCATTCTCTTTTCATTTGAAACATTCCACGATATTGCGAAAAAGTGATGTGAATTTTAAATTATTATTATTATAACTAATATAGGATCCTTTTCTGTGTTTTAAATATTCTACAGAGTTAGTCAAGACGAGATCTTGCAAACTCTCTGGCTGGCACTTAATTCACCTTCAAAATGCATCCATTTATTTCACTGTCCAAATGTTATCATTTCCATTTTAGAAAATGCTGACTCGTGAGAGTATGACGACGAAAATGGAAGTAAAAATTTTATTCTATTGTTTTTGTGATTACAGAATACGAATAATGCGCATAAATCAAACAGGAGTATACTGATATGTCTAAAAAATTGTTCGTCCATGGTACGATCACTTGAGAATTCTAACATTGTTTCATAAATTATAAATAACGAAGAAGGTAATGATTGTTTTCCTTGTTAGGATAAACGAAAAACGCAGACTAAATTTTCTTGTGAGTCTTGAATATTTGACGCAGATTAATATTTTAAAATGTATAAATGTCTTCACGATAGATATAAAACAGAAATATATGCACGATTTTGTTGAGGGCTATCAATTACATATCTGAATTCAGAAATTTCGCGACAAACTTTGTAGGACGGGGCAAGAAGGCGATATCTGGAGTCCCAAAACTTAATGAAATGAAATTCGTTGTTTTTATTTATAATTGTATGTGTTTACTTATAATTATTATTTAATTAATAAAAATAATTAATTGCTAATAATTAAATGTAATTTTATAATTTATATATTTTTAATTATTTTGACTACCGCATTATTTTCCTCTAGAATTCTACTTCCTGGCTCTCCCTTCTTTTCCCTCTAATATTATGGCATCTGCTAGTATTGCGAAGTGGGGGAGGCGGTCCATCTACATGCATAAATCGCAGTTATGTGCTTACGGGTTGCGATGCCAGAATGTTTGGGAAACCTTGACCTAATGTATCGTGACACAAAGGCTGGAATTCTGCCTTAATTGCCCTTGATAACGTTTTAGCTACCCAACTTCATATCTAAATTTAATATTTATGAGGCTATTGCATCTCGGCTAGACTAGTCTTGATGTTTATCGCTATTTCTAATTAATATTAATGAACTAAAACCTGTTCAAAATTTCTTACTTCGCCAAACCACTAATACCTCTTGGTGTATTTGTAATATTAGAATTCATGAAGAATAAAACTTTCGCGGAAAATTTATTAGCATCAAAAGTAACTCAACAGCAGTATTTGGCTGCCAGAAAATCGTAAACACTTCAAGAATGATCTTACAAAAGCAACCTCTAAATATATTTATTGCTGCTGTAACTGATATATTCATTTAATAAATTCCACAACATAGCTTTTAAGAGGCTTTAATTTTATTTTTATTCTCCAGCAGTTTGCCTCTATTCTGTTAGCTTCTTCCCCCAAGTTATTCCATACACACATTCGTCGTAAAATATTTACACTTAGTAACGTGCCAGCGTCGTGAGCCTGAGATCGTTGAAACTGGTAGTTCGACGCAGGTTCGAATCACAACAACGAACTGGTTGCATGAGAATTTCCATGGATTTTTACCCATGGTTTGCATAAATTTTTAAATGGTTTGCATAAAGTCACTTTTTCTTAGAAAGTCTTCAACTGAGGTACCCTAAAACTTGCATGTTTTGCTGTATTTAAATTAGCTCGCGTTATATAAGGTGCGCTCGGTGTAAAATGCTTGGAAACTATGATACAGTTCGAGCCATTTAATACAGGTTGACGTTTACATACATTTTTCCGCCTTCTTAGCGAACTTTCGTGGTGTAGTGGTCTGCACGCTCGGCGCGTAACTGAGAGGTCCGCGGTTCGATTCCTGGCGAAGGCATTGCTCATTTTTCATCTTGCCTGCTTCCAAAAATGCCTAATGTCTCTACAAGT